GCCCCGGGCCCCTCCTGCACCTCTGCCCACCCCTCACCTGCTTCCCGTCTCTAACGCTGGCTCTCCGGGAACACTACACAAGTGGAACCGTGCAGCATGTAGCCTGTTTCCCCTCAGCACAGCTCCCCTGAGATTCACCTGGGAGGAGTTACACTTCGATGGTGAAAATCCACACACATAAATGCTCCACGTCTCAGGACCAGACACCTCCCGAGAGACGCATCTCTGATGCTGTCTGGCGCCCTGGCCCACGTCCTGGTGCTGCTCTTCCTTGATCGGCAGTGCCCGGGGCCTCCCCACGCGCCAGGGAGGGTCCCCCCTGGGGCCAGAGACCATGGGCACTCCTTACCCAATGCCCAGAGGCTGGCCCGACTGACCAAGGCTTGGCCCTGGGGCTGGAGGTGCCTCAGGGACCGTGGGTCGAGCCATGACCACGCCTCTCCGAGCACTGCCATCCCCACCCAGGCATCACCCTGGGCGCCTGGCACACGTCACCGCTCCGTACTCCCTGTAACACGCTCCACGGCAGGGGGGACCCTGCCAACATGACTAAGGCTATCGACCTAAAAATGGGGAGTTTATTTTAGATCAGCTGCGTGGGCCCAGCCTCATCACTGGAAGCCTTGGAAGCGGAGAACCTTCTCCAGCTGGAAGCGGGAGCGATGGCAGGAGGGGCGTTCCGAGAGGACTCGGCTGCCGCTGCTGCTGTGAAGGCGAAGGAGGCTGTAACGGGGATGTCAGCATCTCGAGAACCCGGCCATGACCCAGCCAACGGCCAAGAAGCAGAGGGGACCCTGGTCCGCGGCCACATGAACTGCCAGCCGCTGACAGAGCAGGGTGGACTCTCCCAGAGCCTCCAGGTGAGTGCCCGGCCCAGCACAGCTTCGCTGTCGGCCTCGGGACACCGGTCGCTTCCAGCTGTTGAGCTGGTGTCGTTCCGCACGAGAGCGACACGACGGCCGTCCGCTCATCCGAGTTCCTCCGCGTGGAGCGTCCTTCTCCACCTGCCCTGTGTGCGAATTCGGCTCCATCTTCAAGTCCCGTCCTCATATCCCTTCTGTCGCAGAGCCGCCCGGCTCCTCGGGCTGGGTCTGCCCCGCCACGGGCCCCTCGGTGCCGAGGACCCTCATCTGCGTCATCCGCCCCCACGTTGGTCTCCCTGCCACACTGGTGGCTTCTCCAGGGAAGAACTTGCCTTGGTCATCTCTGTTTTTAGCCCCCGGCACAATTTCAGAGAAGACACTTGGAAACCACCTCCCGGAGAAGCCGTGGAGGACATCACCAAAGCCCCGGGGACCCTACACTCCCGTAGGGGCGGAGAGACAGACGTCTCACTCGTCTTGCAGGCCCTCCTCCCTCCCACCCCGGCTGGCACCTCCACTTCGTGCCCCCACGTGCCACGCCCGCCCGGGAAGGACAGGTGGGGCAGCAGGGGAGGCAGGGCTCGAGGGGGCCTGGAGAGCGGACGGCCTGTGGGAGAGCTCCCTGCACGGCGCCCCTGCTCACCTCGGGGCGCCGGGAGCCACCCAGGCTGCGTCCAGAAGTCAGCCATCCAGCAGCGTCTGGGGTTTGCCGCCCACAAATTTACTTTTTCTTTCAGGAACAGCTCTGCCACATCTCTACTTTGAGCTTCACTCAGCGATAAGAAGCCACCCGGGTAAGCTCCACCATCGCGGTGAGACACCAGTAACTAAGCTTGGGTGCTTCTGATATGGGTCGTACGTGAAAATCATCAGAAAGAAAGACATCTTAGGTTCATCCTCAGCAGGTAGGCCGGAAGGCCCCATGAGGAGAGGGCTGTGCTCCCTGCAGGGTTCTCCTCCGGCCTGAGCTGCTGTGGGGGCCCCTCTCCCGCGGTGCTGGGAGAGCCCTGCCCCGCACAGCCCGGGGGCCCTGCACTCGCTGTGCTGGACCATGGAGCCAAGGGGCCGTCCTCCGCACAAGCCCGGTGCCGGGGACCACCCTCCCCCCCCGCCCCAGGGCCCAGCATGGCGTCAACACGCAGCCCCCGCAAGCACTCCCGGAACAGTGGGGGCCTCGGGGGTCGCCCCTGTAAGGCGTGGGAGCAGGGAGGGCGAGAACGAGGGAGAGGGAGGAACCCGTGTCGGGAACAAGCTTGTAAGAGGTGCTCAGCTCCGGGAGAGCAACTTCTCGAGAGCGGTGTTGGTATCAGCTGAGAGATGTCACTTGCTGTTTTAATAGCACTTAAGAGATGGGAGTTTCTGAGTGGCGAGTGTATAAAAAGTCAGAAGAGACTTGAGACAGACAGAAAGCTCTGCACAGTCGTCACTCTGCCCGCCGGGGGTCTGGGTGGGAGGGAAGGAGGCAGCGGGTCACGGAATGCGCCCGCGAGGAGGACACGCGTGTGCAGGCTGTGCTCTGCGTGGGACCAGACCCATGGCCCGGGTGGGGACGGACCCGCTGGCTCCCACCGCAGCACTGGTGAGAGGCTCTGTCATTTCGTTCACCCTGAGAGAGGAGCGCTGCCTCCGCGGACGGCGGGCCGCCCAGGCTGCAGGGGCAGCGGGCCCACGTGGGGGACGCGTCAGGCAACCATCGCTGGTAGGTAACTAAGACAGTGCGACGTGTCATCAGGGTCCCGCCGACAGCTCCCATGGCTGCCACTCCAGTCCTCTGTGACCCACACCGCTTCAGACAGTCCTCACCATCCGACTGGAGTCCCTTTCTGCAGTATGGACGTTCACAGTGTGGCCTCCGAGGCCCGCGGAGGGTGGTGTCGTGAGAACCTGACCCCGTCCTGCCTCCAGAGCCCATCCCGTTACGCGCGGAGCATCCCCGACCTGCCAGTGTGCCCCCTCCCTGCAGAAGAGCAGTGGGGACGGCGTCACTCCTCTCCAGGGTGGAAGGTCCGAGAGAGTCATAGAAGCAAGTGGGGACAATTGAGAGGAGTCCTGAGGGACACGCGGACCCACCAAGCAGAGGAGCTGGGGCCCGGGGGAGAGGCCACTCCTCCCAGAGCGCTCACGGGTCTGAAAGGTGACAGTCAAAGTCTCGGGTGGGCCTCCCCAGAGACCTGAGCCCCCCTGGTGGGCACCCCGGCTGCAGGGGCCAGAAGAGGTAGGAAACAGAAGGGAACAGACACTCAGGCTGTGCGGGGGCGGGGGGGGGAGTCGTGCTGGGAGGCCGGGCATCGGCCCTGCCGCGTGCGGTGTGGGGTAGGGGGTGGGAGGTCATCGTGCAGGGACTGGACGGGCAGGTCAGAAGATGGTTGAGAAAACAGCAGCAAATTCCATGCAGGGCAGGTGGTGAATGAGGTGCCGGAGACGGTGGATGGCGAGCCCCGGGGGCCATGTCCCTGTGTGGGGAGGGTCACACGGGCCCTTTGGCAGGTGCCACGCTGGCCCAGTCAGCCCCCAGGTGCTGTTTGACCCTCAGACAGTAACCAATGTGGCAGGAGGTTGGCAGGGGGGTAAACAGCCGGGCTCGCCCGCCCATCTCCACAGTGCAAAGCCAGGGTAAGGGAAGCCGGTGCGTCTGCTGTCTCGCATCTGTGTGCTCAC